TACCTTTGGGCATTACAGTTTGACTTGTGGCAACACAAAACTGGTCGAATTCGCGACATCGTCTGCAAATGAAAAGAAGCGTGATTTAATTTATATAATATTCGAGTGAAATAATATTGGAATATCTTTAATATTGTGGAGTATAGAAAAAGCACATGAATTTATAATTATTTTCGCTAACCCAACCAAAACCATACTTAAATTATATTTAAGGCTTTATGTATATACTGTTAATAATAATATTTACAATTGGTTTTTTTTTTTTTAGATATAATTGTCTTTCCAGAATAAAACGCATATAGTTTAATGATAGAGCCAAAAATTTAGCATTCTGCTATTATAAAGTTAATTGTTCGCTGTTATGCTTTTAAAATTATTTCGGATAGGTTACAGCCACAGCTGGCTCGAATATATTCCAGCCGAGAGGCTTATCATGGAAAGACGTCGCAAATTTCACTAGAATTATGGTATATGCGAGTCCGACCGCCAAGTAGTTTTGTTTCGATTGCCGAGGAGCTAATCATGGCACAAAAAATCGTTTGGAACTACATATTTAAACAAGGCTGGATACAAAAAATAACGTATGTATGTATATGATCTACATGAGTTAGCGCAAAAAATCTCTTGAACCGATTTTCCACCTTACTTCCTGCTGAAAACTGGATTAGTCAGAACAACGGTAAGTAAAAATGGTCGTATAGCGGTAAGCCGACGCAAACGGTGTCCAATACAGGGTTAATGATTTTATTATGTGTTTGATGTGATTGGCAGATCATCATCTACTATGAGCTGTTTCACTATGGTCGAACTCTTATTTCGAACCTATAATCAGGTGCAGCATCCGTATAAAGGAATCGCCCAGAAACAGCCAATAACAACGGAATTGTGTTCCATCAAAACAATCCCAGGCCACAAATATCAATAGCCCCTCGGCAGAAGTCCGGAAGCGTGATTGGAAGGTTCTTATACATCCACCTTCTATTGCGGACCGGCAGCAAGTGATTGCTATCTACTTCTGTCTATGGCGAATGATTTTGCTGGTGATAAATTCACCTTAAGTGAAGCTTATGAAAACCGGCTGTCCAAGTTTTTTTACCCTAAATGGTTGTGACCGATGATCATTCATACAAACACATTCACATTGCGTCAATTAAGGTGCCTTTCACAAGCGCCTCACAGTGTATTTATATATACCTAGGTTGCCTTTAATATTTCGGGATTCGATAACAAAAACAAATATTAATTATCGACAATTGCCTTTCTGTTTTGAAAAATACTATCCATTAAGATCTATACACTTTTGCATGCGCTTGAACCCATTTCCGAAGCACTTCTGCCATTCTGATTGAGGTTTCTCAAAAACATGACTTTTAAACGCATCAACTGTCTTTCCAGGTGTCGAAAAACGTTGACCTCTTAGTTTATCTTTCTCGTGCGTAAATAAAAAGAAGCCATTTGGTGCCAAGTCAGGATTTTACTGTGGATTACTCATCAAATCGATGTTTTAGTGGTTAAAAATATAGTGGTTTCAGTCGATCTGTCAGAGCTAGCACTGCCGTTGTGAATAGTGTTCCTTCTTTGGCGGTTGATTTTTCTTGAAAGGCAACTGACAACAAAATGGTTGCGTACCACTCAGAATTTACTGTTCTTCGTTATTCTAGTGGTATAGCTGCGATATGTTAAGTTTCTCCAAAAAAAAAAAACCAAGCAATCATTTGTTTGGAAGTGCTTCGTGTGCGAACAACCTTTTTGCTTTCGGCTCCTTTTGAAATGCCCAAACAATCGACTGCTGTTCATTTACGGGCTCATACGCGTAAATTCACGATTCGCCACCTGTCACGATATCATAGGCGTTTTTCGAAGCACCGCATCGTATTCTTTTAACATTTCCCCCAGGCCAATAGACACGAGCCTTTTTTGTTGATTGACAAATAGTGTGGTATCCAGCGTGAATAATTGTATAATCAAATGTCAATATAATATTGAATGTATGCTAGTCCCAGTAATGGCCACAGTTATCTCTATCTCACGATAGGTCACAATACAAACTTGGAATATCAGTTTGCGACTATCATCAATAGTTTCCAGAACATCAAATGATTTTGGGGGAACTTTCCGAAATTTGTCTTGGAATGAGCTATGACCTCGACTGAACTCACCATACCATCGGTAAACACCGGTCCTAGAAAGAGCTTCATCGTCAGCGCTCGTTCTAGGTACATATGTATGTATAACATCAAAAAAGTTAAACTTTACGATAAAATTACGAGTCTCCAGATTGCAAGATCGGCGCTTCCAAATCCCAAAATATAAAAGGCAACATATGTACATATGTACATATAATAATATATTAAAATAAAATAAACAATACGAACTTTATCAAACACCGTTATCATAAAGAAAGCTGTACGGCATTGGAATCAGTTTTTATACGAGAGCCATGAAATCATTTCCGATTGGCTTGTATACGCGCACTCGATAACTGCTTGGTAACCATATGAATGGAAAATACATACATACAAGTACAATAAATATGTGACTGCTATTTATCTGTATTTCTAAGTCGTTTGCATACAGTTACGCCCCGATGACTGCGTACTTTCTGCTCGCATTGCAAACTGTATTTGTACCACAGCAATTTTGTTACACTTATTTATTTTAATTGTTTTGCATCAACACATACCATTTCATATATGTATGTAAATCATTTTAATTAGAACGCTGTGCACACAACTAATTCAATTGAAGTTCATTTAAATTGATAGCGTTTATGACTGCGTAATCCGCTATAATTAGGGTGGGTGGAAAAAAAAAAAAAGAATATTTTTTTCGCTTACAACCTAAGGAATAGATAATTATAATGTTTGCTATTTAAAATAATTTTTTTTCATCGTGTCAAAATTCCACAAAAATACAAGTTTTCTTTAAAATAATCAAATTTCAGTCGAAAATATTTTTTAAGTGGTTAAGTATACAAAGAAAACGTAAGAGACCAATTTGTAGAGCATTCAATTTCCTATAACATTCACAAAACGAAATATTCTATCCGATAATAAGAAAAACGTACACGTGGAGAGCCTTTCTTAGTGGTGTCTGTCCTCCAATTTCTCAAAAAACCAAGCGAAAAAATGGATTTTTTATGTTTTTGTTTTTGACCCACCCTTATATTGATAGTGCAAAAACGTGAAATTGTATTTACTGGTGTACGTATTGCGTTTGTTTAATGCTATTGTTGTTTTCAACGCTTCGATGCGATTTGCAGTTAATAATGCACCTTATAAGACAGGCTAGGTGGGATATAAATTAAATGCACATAAACAGTTATTATCACTTTAAAAAATACATACGTGTATGTAGGCACATAAATTGCTCGATTTACATGTATAAATGTATGTATGGATGTATGTATATGAGAAGAGTTCCTCACTTGCTCCATTCGCCGCCATCGGCCTTCGCTGTTCCCTACTGTGACATCGCCTATAACTATGCTACAGTCTTATGATATTTGATTGATTTATTGAACGGTCAATTTAAAAATATCGGAAACTTTGATTTAGTAAATATGACCCAAGCTTTGTGCTATCCACAAACAGAATATTTTGAGCACACATAGATAATATCTTTATAACTTAAAATATGCATAAATAGACACACACAAATGGATTTCACCACATTATATGAACAGTTGTTTCTGTAAATATTATTATACCATTTTGAGACATAAGTTCTATGTTATGATTTTTGTTCCTAGTCATTGAAAACAATTTTTGTCCCTAATTTTAATTTTAACCTTATGTTCTATTTTAAATTATTTAAGATAGCTAGTTGCTTTCTACTATGAAATTTACAAAACTTTTTTTTCATATTTAGATAGATTATACTCTCAAAATATCATACTCAAATTTTAAATCCATATCATGAAATAGTTTTTTTTTCAATCAGTTTACGCATTTTTCCTAAAACTAAATTTTTGAAATTTCTTTAAGATATTATGCGGCGAGAAATAATCTGATTACTACAAGTATTTTTCTGCATACTGCAAATAGAGTTCTTTTACCAGTTTTTCGATTTGATCAAAAATCGAATTTTGGCAGGTCAAAAACTATCAAAATTTTACGTCAAATTCCAGACAGTCACACAGATGTGATTTTAAGAAAGATGCGCCCCGCTCTGGTCGACCTATCGCTGAAAAATCGAAGGAATTATGGAAAAGATTGACCATGACCGTCACCATGACATCGCTAAGGAACGGGCTTGAACCATTTAAAAAAGGTTGGCTACAAAAAGAAGCTCGATATTTGGGTACCACATGAATTGTCTGTAAAAAAATTTAATGGGCCGAATTACCATCTGCGATTCTTTGCTGAAACGAAATGAAATCGAACCATTTCTGAAGCGAATGACAACAGGAGGCGAAAAGTAGATCAGATACGACAATTATGTGCTAAAAAGATCATGGTCCAAGCTCAACTAACGATCGCAAAGCCAGGATTGACGCATCGAAAGGTTATGCTGAGTGTTTTGTGGTATTGGAAAGGAATCAACCATCAGCTGCTCCAGCTTGGTCGAACGATTGATTCTACATTTTACTGTCGACAACTAATGAGATTGAAGTTAGCAATCGAGAAAAACTGGAAGAACTGATCAAAAGAAAGGGCTTCGTCTTCTATCAGGACAACGCCAGAACACACACATCTTTGATGACTCGGCAAAAGCTCGATTAGAAATACGAAATTACTTTTGCGACTACTCAATATTTAAATTTCAAAATTTGTATAAAAAATTAGCTTAGTTTTTTTTTTAATCTTTTGCTTAATTATTTACTCTTTATTTTTATAAGTAGAAATTGTGTTCAAATATAGTATTGAACAATAAAACAATAGTCCCAAGAGGAAAAGTGTTTTTTCGTAATTTATTTAATTATACACTCTATAATAATAACAAATTATTTACAGACTTAAATTAATTACATAACAATATTTCAATAATAACTAAGCGTCTTCGCAACTACATATGTAAATACTATATACAATTGATGTAAAATAATAACACAAAGATTTATACTATCATTTAGCTGTCTATAACATTTTCTTAAGTGTAAAATTGTCCATTAATAAACGGACATTAGCTAACATTTTAAAAAATAAATGTTTATAGGCTTATAACTGTGAATTTACGTATATCAGTATACACATTTTTGGCACGAGCAAAGGCACGAATACGCGAACACACAAGCTGAGTCAGACCCTACAAGAGTTGAACGTGACCTAAGGTAATTGTCTATAAATGATTCTCCAGCCATAACTGAGAGCTGTGGGTTATCGCTTTCACTTAATTACATACATATACATATATATGCTTATGAGCTAATGGATAAACTTAATCGCGGTAGGAACGATACAACAATGGCACTTAAATTTATACATATTCTTAGGCATATTTTCTAAGCTAGCGTTGGCTTCTTTTTCTTATGCAAGAGATCTTCGATTATCCATAATGCGATAGCTATAATATTAAGACCATTAAGAACATGCAAAGTGACGCCATAATCGGTGGCGTCGCGTATAAGACCTGAGGGTAAATGGTAAGAGAGAGTAAGCGTGTTATATATAATTTAAATAAAATGTAATTTGTGTTTTTTTAGGTTTTCTAAAAATCAGTTCAACTCACCAACAATTGGTCCAAAAACCAGCGAGAAAATGCCGGACATGAGCAATTGAAGACCCGCCGCGGCCGGTAAACGCTTCAATGGCACATAGCCGGGAATGATTAGAAGTGCAAAGATGGTGCGGAATGCCTTGAAAAGGCCCAAGAAGCCAAAAGTCGCGATCAACCAATAGAATGAACGGCAGTATATGAGAAAGACGCGTCCCAAGCACATGCCCAAAATGCCGATAATAAAGAAATTCTTATTGCTCAAGGGTATATTGGCGGTTAGCAATGGCGTGAGGAAACGCAGTATGACATCGCACACACCCAGGCAAGACATGGCGACTGCGATTTGTGTATTTGTAAATTTGAAATCGGAGAGAATGAACGGCGTTAAGATGGCGAAATTGATTTCCACGAAGTTGATTATTGTCATGCCCATTGCCAAATTGACATATGTGAAATCGCGCAACAAATCCAAATCGAAGAAAATTATCACCTTTTGTAGGAATGGTAGTTTTTGGCGTGCCTCTTCTTCTTCATCTAGCATTTCCTGTAACGTCTTTTCGGGGGTTAAGTAATGTTCTTCCTTCACCGAAAATTGTTGTGGCTGTTGCCTATACGGCACGGCCACTTGTCCCTCATCCAAATGATCCAGTTTAGTGGGCAACCCCATATGCAAATGCTCGAGCTCATCCTCCTTAATGCTCTCGCTGGTCGAAAAGGAGCGCTGTTTTCCTTTACCAGCGCCAACGCTGCTTAACCGGCGTAGTTTCTGCATTTGCACGCTGTCGCCAGTGCTGAGACGATGCCGTTGGCTAAGCGTATTTATGGATGTGCGGGAACCGTACCAGCCGTCATTGGCGCGTGCCAAACTGTGCGTGTCGGGTTCGACAAATTGTTCTGGCTCTTCCTCTTCAAAGTGCTGCGAACCTGGGCGTAAGGCCTCAGCGTCTCCTCTAACTTTTTTCACATGCCATTGTACGGGTTGGAAAATCAGTGAGGCGGCAAAGTTATGCAGCGAGAGGCCAGAGAAGATCAGCACGGTGCCTTTCACACCCACAGCTTGTGTGAGAAAAGTGGCGAGATGTGGCAATATAATTGGACCCATACCGGCTACACCGAACTGATAAGAGGTGGCAGTGCGTCGTTTCACTTTGAAGAAAGTGTTAACAGCCATCGAAGACGCCGATACCATGAGACCACGACCGAAGGCTAAATGACAGATGTGCTTATGTAAGATTTAGGTTCTCGTGTTTTGGAATTGACAATAAAACTTACCGTAGAAGAATGAGAAAGACATCAAAAAGAAAAGGAATGATTGAGCAAATACTGACAAAAACATGCCGATGAAGATGAGCGTTGAACCGCCGAATGCCACTTGGCGATATGTAAAGCGTCTAAAGAGGGGTCCATTGAGTAGACCTATAAATAAAAAGTAATTAGTTATGTATACAATAAGTGATCATAGGCACTCAGGATTTAGGAGAAATTTAGTGTAATCCAAAACCTCTCTAAAACTATCCCTCTAGATACTGAACTCTGTTCGTGACTACTTATCGGTTATTCGCCGGTAACACCTGTATCTTTGGAAAGGTATTTTACAATCCGCAACCTGTGATACGTCTGGCCACCTACAGCTCGGCACTTGATAGAGGAATGTTTAAAAAATAACAAAGTATATTCAATGTGTTCCTTTTGTTTACACAATTCAACCAGTCAAACCTTTTGGAAAGACAAGTCAGTCAACGCAACTAAAATAATCTGGGCTTCTTGCTCCGCCAAGAGCTGATATCTTTGTAGTGTCCGTGGAAATTAATAAGGAATGTTTTTAAAGACACGAAATCGCCCACATACAAGTACCCAGAGGCGAAGAAATTATGAAGCTAAAAGTAAATCGGCTTGGTTCTTTTCTTTAGCCATAAACCACACCAACTCGATGTATGAAATGATCCAAGAGAGAAGTTCGCATATTCTACCATTCATAGATCACCATATAAAGATCTTCTGAAGTCCCATACCCCAATCTAGATATTTTTTGACTCTTATATTCTACGTAACAGCTTTCTAGTCAGAAGATATCTCTTGCAAATACAATATATCGAGATTTACTATGGGTTATTTTCGAAAGTTTTCTAAATAAGCAAGAAAATACTCAATTATGTGTTACTTGACTGAAAAAGATCCCGGCATTAGAAACAAAATCATCGTAAACTGGTACCCTCCCTCCCTTTCGATTCGAAATTATTTACATGATCTCGACAAAACCTACCTGTTAATGCGGAAACGGCAATCTGCGTGTTGATGATCGTCGTCAACTGCGAACTGGTGATGCCAATACCGTACATATAATCTCGGAAGATAATGCCGAACTGTTGGGCCAAGCCAAATGTCACCAACTGCAAAGAACACCCTTAAGTTAAGTAAACGCCAGAAAATATTTTAATTCAACCAAATACTTACCACAGCAACGCCACTAGCGACGGTGACCAGCCAACCCCAGCCACCATCGGGCGCTACGAAATCATCGCCCAGATCACTTTTGTCGCGACGCTTCTTTTTCGGTTTCTTCTGTTTCGTTGCATGGGTATCGGCAACTGGGGTATTATAGGTTTTATCAAAAGTGGACTTATCACCATTTATTGGTATTATTAACTTAGTCAGATGTGGCGAAGTGGATCGATCATGTATGTGACCATTGTGATTGTTATTATTTTCATTTATTGTCGTTTCTTGCGCCATCTTTGTTGCTGTCTGGATTTTATAACGGCTGATTATGCCGACTTGTCAGAGATTTCACTTATGAATTGCACACTATGTCAATTTAAAACAAAACGAAAACGAGAACGAGAACGAAAAACTATGTCAACTTTTGGTTAAGATTAAATTTATCATTATTGCTGTTTGAAGTGAGCACTTGTGATCGAGCCACGCGTCACGGCCACCACTATTGAAAAACGAACGCGAACGAAATGAAACAAAAAATCTTTATCCGCGTCATAGCGTTAATAAATGACTTTAAAGTGTGAAGATAAGCGCAAACATAACCTAAAATGATTTAAATTCGATTCAGTGGTGCTAAACTTAAAAAACACACTTCATCTGGAGTAATCGCTTTACTTCGTACAATAAACCGCATGCACTGTAAAATTCAATTTTAAAATATATATCAGTTGACTAAACCCTAACTTCTTCTTCTCGAAAGTAGACGTCTTTGCTGCATTAACAGGCCTATATTATACATTATATTTTGTCTTTGTTTTGGCAGGTAATCAATACTTTAAGCCAGATAGGCTTGATAGAATCACACACGATTCTTTATAAACACTAGATCGACAACAATTTTCGTAAATCAATGAAAGAAAATTGTCTAGGCCGTTCATTGCGCAAAATTTCAGATCAATATCTCAAAAACTGAGAGGCCATTTCGCATATATAGTACACGGACAGGCAGACGGGCAGACAGAAGGACATGGCAAATTCGACTCAGGTGGTAATGCTGATTATTTATACATATATTTTTTATAGAGTCTCTGCAGCCTTCTTCTGGAAGTTACAAAATTTGTGGCAGAATTATTATACCGTGTTTATTGTGTACCAATAATTATTATTTGTGTAACGATTGTGTAAGGGATTTTGGAATGATGTTGTATCACACTTAGTACTTAACATAAAATCTCGTAATAATTATGGACTGACATATTCAATCAAATTGTATACCTAGTTTTATAAACAAAGTATAGTCACTTTAACATTGGATTTTTCAAAAAGTTTTCGGTAGTAGTGTAATGTAATTACGATCTTAATCAGTAGAATCCAAGAATTAATATTAGAATGAGGAGACACTTGGTAGATGATAGACAGTTTCTTCTCCCTTCTGTTACACAAAGCGTGCGACCCGCGGTCGAGGGGTACGGTCTCTTCGTCGTGCCCTCGCCTATGAAAAGCGGTTTGGGCGACAAAAAGAGTTCTCGTTCTCTCTGAAAATCATATACATGGTTCATATGTTTACACAGATTTGAGTGTTCACAATGCAAGTTTTGTGAACTAGTTTTATTCACAGTAATAAAACTATCTGCCGGCCAGCTAACCAAAACTTGCTGAAAAAGTTTTGCTTCGTTCTGCACCACCTTCGACACTTCAACTAATAAAAATAAAAAAATTGTGAAAGATATGGTGCTTGAAAATCGTCAGGCAAATGTTTAAAAGATGGCAAGAAAGAACGACATATCTCACGTGACCGTTCGAATAATGTTAGTGGATATTTTGGGTATGAAACACATTCTTGCTCGACTCGTCCCAATTAAGCAACATATTTTTCAAAAAGAATACTGTAAACAGGTCTCTTTGAAAATCTCTTGATCGTGCGAATTCCGATCCCACATGTAGAGGAGACATGGGCTTATGAGTTTGAGCTGGCTGAAGGCCACCTCAAAAAGTGCTCACGAAAAATGTTTCGAGGACTGGTAAAATCGTTGGCATAAGTGTATTACATTCAGTATAAGAGTCTCTTAAAATCTCTGTATTTCATTTCATCCATTCTATTTCTCCTTATCTCACTTAAATTCTGTGAACTATTGTCGAAAAAACGATTTAGGCCTTTTAAAAATAGGGAATTTAACTTAAAATTTCGTTTATTTAAGCAAAAATTCATTTTTGATCAGATCAAAAAACTGTTAGGCCATTATAGGGAGAACTGCACGTAAAAAGGAGGAAAAAAAATTCATAGTGATCGAACCATTAGTATCCAGGTATTTATTGCAGCAAATTTGAAAAATGTAGTGTTGAGAAAAACGGGTTTAAAGATAAACCGATGGAGTGCATTGAGTTAATTAACTAAAACGACTCTAATTCAAAGCCTCATGATCAATTTGAAATTAAGTATATTATCGAAATCCATCTCTATTAAATTTCACACTTGGCGTGCCTCTTACTTGAGACATCCATTGTGAGTTGTATGCTAAGCCAATGAGTTTGAGTTTAACATGTTAATATTCCAACACTTTACGGTTAACTTAAAAATTACTGAAATCATGAAATCACTTATTACGGTAATTTAGTACTTTATATACTTCAATTACGACCTTTTTAACACATATCAACTTGTGTACATAGGTTCAGAAAGAAATTCCATGCAAACATGCTAGGCTAGTAACCCCCGAGGCACTTGTTTTACTGATTAGCATGAAATCAGTAGGTGGTGATAATTTTTTGTTCAACAAACAAGTCAGCATTGCCATTATTTATGTACATATATACTTATATAATTATATATAAATATGAACGTAAGTAAATAATGCTAACATGAGTCAAACCACAATATATGTTTTGTCTAGCTGTAGTAGTTTTCTATTTATGCATAAGAGTATATACATATATGTACTATATACAAAGTTTGAAAAATAATTAGGAGATGATGAAATTGCTATTTATCGTAGAAACGTAGGAGTATGGGGAACCCAATGGGCTTAAGACCATTTCACTATCACTATCAACAGATAATTATCGATATCGCTTTATATACAAAGGTATGTACATACATACATAAATATGTATACCAAATGCAATTGTTGCTGTAATAATTGTGCGAATATGTCCAATATATCAATGTCAAATTAAAATCCAGCCTTTTCAGAATGAAATTGCTATAAATTAGAATACCTTACCCCTGTTGTCATAATGCGCCAAAAAATAAAATGGTCAGCAGACATTTATGTAAGCAAATGAGGAGTACCGTGAGGCGACTGTTTGAACAATTTAGTTATGTGATATGGAAAAAGCGTGACTTGGTTTAAAAATGATAACCGGAGGCATATTTCTATACAGGTACGATACATACATATAGTAGCCTTCAGTCTGATATCTATATCCTATATTATATGCGAATGAAATTGTCATTTGAGTTATTTTTATATAATTCAAATGCGATTATTTTTACTTAATTCTTATGCGAATATTCATTTTTAAATATACATACCTATAATATATAGTAAATAGGTATTCTGGTACTGCGATAAGGAAGTGTTAAGGTAGAATTACAGAATTGTTAGATTTAAACTCATTCATTATAAATTGATTGAATTAGAAGTACCAGCCAGATTGACTCGACGCATTTTACATCAAAGCATACAAAATACAGCTTGTATTCAGTTCTTGCTGAAGAAAAGTTCCAGGAATATGAGACGTTTTCGAGACAAATTTTATTCAGCATTGAGGCCCATTTCTGGCTCAATGGGTATGTAAACAAACAAAATTGCCGCATTTTGGGACGAAGAGCAATTTGAAGAGATTCAAGAACTACTATTTCATGCAGAAAAACCAACGGTTCGGTGTGTTTTGTCAGCCGATGGAACTATTGGTCTATATTTCTTTAAAATAATAACCGTCAATGGCAACCTTTATTGGTTTAACCATGATAACTATTTGATGCCTGAAATTGAAACTCATGATCTCGGCAACATGTCTTCAACAAGACGGTGCCACTTCCCACACATTACACCAATCAACGGATTTGTTGAGAGAACACTTCAGCGGGCAGATAATTTCACTTGACTTTGTAGACAAACCCGCTTCGATTCAAGACTTGAGGCAAGACATCACGCTTGTCATTTGACAGTTATCAGTCGAAATGCTCGAACGAGTCAGCGAAAATTCGACTCTTGGACATTTGAAATAAATAATCTTCAAAAAATAAATGCCAAAGTAAGTATGGTTTTGTGTTTTTTTTTTTAAGAAAAGTCGAGAACCTCGAAATGAATCACTATATATACTCATATATCAAAACTTTATTCAATTCTCGGTAATTTCAATTCTAAAATCCACAAATTAGTTAAACCGCTCTCATATTCAACGAGTACAGATAAAGTAGATTAAGTATTAGTATTAATTTTAGAAACTATTTACACTATCTATATTTGACTATGCAGAAAGCTTTCGAACAAAGAAATTACGACACTTTCAATCTCGATTTAGTTCGATGAAATAATTGCGTGTTGTCATGACTAACACCTTGTTAGCAGCTTCTATAAATAATTTCGTAAACTCCTAGGGTCACAAGACTGCTTTTAACTTATTACTAAGTCGGCTAAAAGCTAAATATATACCGATTTATTATATACTATACATATTTGTAATTTATATGTATTTATATGTGTTGATATTTGGCTATATCATGTAATTGCTGGAAAAATTTCGAGTTAGCGCTGCTAATTATGTAACCAGCACCGAAGTTGTCTGATAAAATATCACGACTCAATTTGTTTTGTGAAAAAGAATTCCTGATTGTTTGTGCACATATTAACTGTACAAATGCTTCATTGTGCACATTGGAATTTTTAAGGTGTACAAATTTATTTTACATGTTAACAAATATTTTTTTTCCGAACAAATTTCGTTGACATTTTGGCGGTTCCGCTGGTTTGATTACATATCTAGATAATTATCTGTATGTAATTACTACCGTTCTTTTTGTAGAACGTAGTTGCGTGAAACAAAAAAATAAGTCCATGCTTGTATTTACTTATATGTAACAACGACAAATCATATGTGCACAATGTGTAAGTGTAACCTATACTGAATATGTGATAACTCTCTGAATAATGCCATAAAAAATAACGTCCAACAACGAGTCGAAATTATTAAAATTTACTATCGAAATTCGGAGTAAGAGGGCTCAATTTTAAGAGCCCCACGTGCAATCATCATGAGATCTCTGAGCGTCTAGTAGAAAAATTTGAATCCACAAAAAACGGGTTAGTGGGGTTCATTGCCGTCATTGAGCCGTAATTCTTGCGTAATGATCATAAAAGGAAACG